ATGCCCCAATCGCCATCCGTTCCAACTTGAGACAACCCTTCAACCACTCCTCATCCAGGTGCAGAAATAACATGACCTTGACTTAGAAGAAGAATGCTATTAGGTCTAACTACATATGCTCCATTAAAATACCCCACTCCCAAATTCCCATGCTCAAGAATGTGGCAGCATGGAAGCTTCTGGTGCTAATATGGCTTCCAAAGCAGACAGAGCCTCCCACAATGGCCAACCTGACCCGGGGCGAACCGGTTGTTAAATTACTACCACTACCACCCCAGCTATCAAAGTGGATCCTGGGTGCTGCGCTGCAATGGAGAAACAGGAAATAGAATGGCCGGCACGAGGGAAGGAGGAGGAGCAGGGAGAAGAAAGAGGGAAAGTAGCCTTTTCCTTCCCCGCCCCGCCGGCCATTCCGTTGCAGCGCAGTGCCCAGGATCCACTTTGATAGCAGTGTGTGTGTGTGATTTAACAACTGGTTCAATCCCACCACTGCCCTATCCCTATCTCTATTTCAGACCAAAGTACTTAGGAAGGACACCAGTGCATTGATTTGGAACTCTGTTTGATGTAGGTGGAGGAGAGAAACTTCAAAAGACATACGATTAACCACTCTCTCCTGTACTAGTTTTGAATCTCGTGGCATCGTGCAAGCTACAAAATGGTGCCTTATTACGTGATAATAGTTGCATTAGGTAAAACCCACTATTCTGGTTAAGCGTGGTTAAACTCCTCACTTAGAGTGGTATGTGAAGCCAAACTCTTTCTCCCCACCAAACCTTTCTCAAAAGGCTGGTGAAGCGAGAGGAACCCATCTAGGCCAGGTTTCTCAACCTCAGCAACTTTAAATGGGTGGACTTCAAGTCCCACAATTTCCCATCCAGAATGCTGAGTTGAAAAACCCTGATCTACGCTGTCCGTGCTTAAAGGAAGAGCAAAGTAAAAATGCAGTAGATAAAGTAGGTTTTGTTTTTTTAAAAAAAGCAATGCGATGCGATCAGTACAGGTAATCCTTGACTTACAACTGTAATTGAGCCCACAATTTTGGCCCAAAGTTGTGACCGTTGTAAAATGGGTCACCATGTGACCAGACCTGATTTTACAACCTTTTTTTCTAGCAATCGTTAAGAGAGCATGGCAGTCCTTAAGGAAACACCATGGTCTTTGTTAAGCAAGCTCATCGTTCGCTGTGAGGCAGTTTTTGCCAGAAACTGGAAATAAATGGAGGCTTTCAGAAAAATGTCAAAAATCACAGTCACGTGACCACAGGCGCTGGAAATTAATGGCTGTAAATGCAGCCTAATTGCTGAGCACCCAAACTCTGGTCATGTGACTGTTGAGAGAGGCAGATGTTAGAACTTCAAAACTGGGTCATAAGTCGTTTATGAGAAGGAAGCAACTGGCTGTAAGTCAAGGATTACCAGAAGGTAAAAAGAAGTCAGTGCAGGTGTGTTGTATGCTCATTTTAACATCGATAGAATCTTGAGATTATTCTGTCCAGTGTTTGACATAGCCTTCTCTGTGTTTGCTGCAGCCCACCAGTCATGGGTCAATCATCCATCGAGACATCTGTACCCAACAACACAATGTATGAAAACTCACAGTTGCCATTGTAAGGATCCCTGCCTGAGCAGGTCCCTTTCTGTTTTGTTTGTCTCAGAAAGAATAGCAGGGAAGCAGGCAGGACACTGACTAAATGTTATACAGGGAGTGCTCACTTAACCAACACAATAGGGACCAACAACTCAATTGCCAAGCCGTGTGTTCATTAAGTGAAACTTCATGTGACCGCACCCAGACTAATGACATCAGGTTACATTGTGATTGCTAAGCGAAACACCCTTGGTTGCTAATAAGAGATCATGTGACCAAGGCTTGCATTTTTACGGCTGGCTTTTCCATTGACTTTGGAATCCAGGATGTGAAGCTTACAGATGGTGATCATGTAACCTTGGAGTACTACATTGGTCATAAGCATGTGCTGATTACAAAGCACCAGAATGGCAATCATGTAACTGTAGAAAACTGCAAGGGTCGTATGTTTGAGGATCAGTCATAAAGTTACATTTTCAGTGCTGTCATTACTTCACAGTCACTAAGCAGCAATTGTTAACCAACGTTTATCTGAACAGAACTACTCAATCCAGCACAATGTATGTATGTATGTATGTATGTATGTATGTATGTATATATATATGTATATGTATATATGTGTGTGTGTGTGTGTGTGTGTGTGTGTGTATATATATATATATATATATATACACACACACATACATTCTTAAGTTTTCGCGGGTACTTACATGTATTTGTTCGGGTATTTTCCCACGTCATTGTAGTTGTGCTTTTAAAGTTGTAGCAACATTTCGGCAGAATCTCATCTGCCATCATCAGGCCATCATCACAATACAGAAGCCTGATGATGGCAGATGAGATTCTGCCGAAACGTTGCTACAACTTTAAAAGCACAACTACAATGACGTAGGAAAATACCCGAACAAAGCTGAATGCCATACATGCATACATACATACATACACACATACATACATATATATGAAATTTATTTTTGTAGATTTCACGGGTGCAGGTATGCAGGTCTTGCCGTGTTCAGGTCTTTTCCCGTGTAAGATTGAGAGTATCTTGGTGATGTTTCGATGAGGTCCCACTCGCCATCTTCAGGCTAGTGCTTTTGGCTTCGGCAATCAAAGCGTGATTGGAGCTGCTGTCTCTATAAATACTGGTGGGGAGGTTGGCTGTATTGTTATTTCTTGATTGGTTGATAGAGTTGATGTTTGCAGATTGGTTGGCTTTTTTTGCTCACACAAGCATGAAGCCGAAAGCACCAGCCTGAAGATGGAGAGTGGGATCTCGTCAAAACGCCGCCAAGATACTCTCAATCTTACACGGGAAAAGACCCGAACACACCAAGACCTGCATAGAATGAAATATGTATATATTAAAATGTACAATATGTAAAAATGCCCAATGTTGAAAGCATACATAAAGCCCGAGACTAATTTAAATGTAATTGGATAATTTAAAAAGCATATTTGCATATTGTCATATTAATTTAATGCAAGTTCTCTTTTTTTATTTTGGAATTGCAATATTGGGCAATCAATCCAAACTACCTAGAGAGCAAAAAAGGGTCATTTTCTATCTCAGTAGTCAATTGGCTTTGGATTTTAAGTTGATACTAGCAATGTCAGGATATCCTATTCCACTTTTCAGTCTCTAGAGCTGCATTGTGACCAACATTTCTTTCCTCTCACAGTGAATTAATTTTGGGCAATGCTTCACCTCTTGGTCCAGTGGATTCATACTCCTTATGCCCAGATGTAGAGATGCCGGACCTCTCTATGCCCACTGAGAACACCATAACATACCCTGGGAATCTTCAGCTCCATGTGATGGCAGACCCATTAAGGTGAGTGTAAATGGCATCTTGCAGGTGGAAAAGGGGAAATAAAAGCAGAGACATTTATCACGATGGGGCTTTGCAATATTGCTTTTTCTTCCTGTGGGTTTATCTGAACGCATGTCATTGTTTCCTCCAGAATCCCCAGAAATTATAGTATATAGGCAACCTTTTATCAGATTGATTACTTTAACCAACCTTTCAAAGGATGACATACTTCTAAGTTGATTGAAATGCCAAGCAAATTAGTTTAACTATCGATGTCCTGAGTTTCTGATGCGTAGATAGCCAGGAACGTGTTGCTGAGGTTAGTTATTGAGAATGAAGTAGTAGACACTGAATGGCAAGTAAAATGGGATAGCGCAATGTAGAAGTTGAGAATGATAATTGTTGGACTGATGTCTATGGAGGTTCTCAGTCATCCAGGTCAGGGTTGTCCGAAAGGTGCTTTTTTTTCAAGAGGCAACTGGACTTTCTGTTTTTTTTCTTTGAAGACATTTCGCTTCTCATCCAAAAAGCTTCTTCAGCTCTGAGTGAAGAAGAAATGAAACGCCTTCAAAGAAAAAAAACCCAGAGAAAGTCCAGTTGCCTCTTGAAAAAAGCACCTTTTGTGATGTTGGACTGATACAATTTGTTTTGGCTAGTGATAAGCCAAGGAAGCTAAGAAATGGAATGGTTGAAATGGGGTGCGAATGTTGTGGTTCACCAGCAGCCGGTGCAGACAGCGGCAGAATCAGACAGTGGGGAAGAACCAGTCAAGGAGTCTGGAGAGGACTCAGATGAGGGTCCTGTGTCCGGTGCAGAGATGGGGCTAAGACCATCTGGGAATGTGGGGTGCTGCCTTCAGAGCCTTTGGAGTCTGGCAGCAGCAAGGCAGAGGACCCAGGGGAGCCTGTTTCCAGTGCGCATGTGCACAGAGCTGCTAGAAGGCGAGAGCAGCTGAAACAAAAGGGACGACTCGGGAGTAAGGCTGGGAGGTGACTGCCCCGCACATAAGGTATAAAAGTCAGGCCAAGATGATGAAACCTTTGCAGGAAGGAAAGTAGTTCGATCAGTTCAGAGTCATCCTTGAAGCTCTTTGTACTTTGGTTGGGGGTTTTTTTTGTACTTTGGTTGGTTTCTTTTCTAGTCATTTGATACTTTTGCAGCACTTCACAGAACTGAAAGGTGTGTGCTTATCTTGGGGGACTGTTTGAGATTAATTCCGGCTGGGAATGAAAACAATTCCCAGCGTTGCAATAAAATAAGTTTTGCTTTTAAAATAAGCTTGTGCGTGATTACTGGGTCAGAACAGTGTAGCTGGATTCAAACAGGCAAGTTCTTGGCCAGAAGCCAAGAAATTGGGGAGGGGAAATATAATGGGATGATGGCATGATCCTGCCTGTTGATTGTGAGGTGCGTCATGAGAACTAATTACTCAAATCTGCTTGCTCACTGCCTGTTTTTTTTCCTCTCTCCCCACCCCCCAGGGTGCCTGAGACTATTTCCCCACCTTCCAGTGAAGAGTTTGAAAAGCTTCTGCATCCAGACCAGGACCTGCATCCGGACCTTCACTTTTGCCATAATCCAGTGTGACTCATTTTGATGTGCTTGTCATCTTTCGCTCTCGTACCTTGGAGATGCTTTATTGGACCTTTGATGTACTTCTCCCTATCAAGCCTGGATATCAACTGTGATAACCCAGAAGACTTACCGTGTACAGAAAACTACTCCTGGGCCCATCTGCGTATCTACTTCATCCTGTTACATCTTTGCAAGCTCTTTTGAACCAAGATCCACTCAAGTTGTCTGCTAAGTCAGGCACATGCCACGATATATAGCCCCGCCTATATTGTCAGCGCAGCCAATGGAGCAAGAGAGGGTTTCCCATTCACACACATCTCCCTTTCGGTGGGCAATAATGTCTGGGGGAAGGGGGACAGACATGATGCACTAGCACCCATGTGTTTTACTGCTTATCTGCATTACCTCTGGATCACAAGAGAGAGTTGGTGGTTTTCCAATTATAGCATGTTAGATTGACTTTTTATCATAATCAGCAGCCAAGACAGAAAAAATTTCATCAGGAACTTCAGAAAAAAATTTCTTTGTTTAACTAATGTAGGTAAGGTTTTGATTGGGCTGCTGCTTCTTTTGTGTATTTAGAGGGGTCAGTTGGGCAAATGGAAATATTCCAATGGAGTATTTATTTTTCATTTCTTCTTTGGAGGAAGACACTGTTGCCTCCCAGAATTTAACATTCCACAGAGCCTTTCTCCCTATCATATAGAATTGTTAGGCAGAGTGAGGCGACCGTCTCAGCCCAAAACAAGAGCAATGGCAGGGAGGTGTTGAATGTCACATGGTTTGCCTTGCCAATTTGCCAAACTAACCTACTGCTTAGGTGTGGTGGTGAATGCAATCTTCTCACCAAGTTTTTATCCTGTTTGGAAGGGGTGGTGGGGAGAGGGATTCAATTTTCACTCAAACAGCTGCAAAATACTTTGGGCCAGCTTTGCCAACTTGCAGTTCCTTTACAATAGATGGAGCCTAAATTCTTTACATCTTTTTTTCCTGATCGTTAATTTGGGGCTCTTGAGATATGGACTGTAACACCTGTGCCATTTTTCCCGGGTAGGATAATGTAAAATTCAGATTTCCCCTATATCATCAGCTGGCACAGCCCAACCTTTTATACCAGCTTTCCTGTTGCAGACTCTATTCTCAGTTGCCAAGATCCTGGTAAAAGGGGCAACATAAAATAACCCATAAAGTAAGACTTTATTCCAAAATAACAAAATAAATAATCTACTGTATACATTACAAATGAAAGGATGCTAATTTTCCTATAAAGACACAAAGGCTGTAGGGTAACAGATGGGGATTTGACTTAATAGCAGTTACGTATTAATTTTAACTCAATGGGAATTCCAAGGCTTATCTGAACGATTTGTGTTTTGCAAGTCAGTTTATTCCAGAAAATGTTGCTTTCAGACTGCTTTGAAGGAGATTAATATCTTTATCTCATACTGTAATGCTGTAATTATGAGCAAAAAAGAATGGAAGAACATTATTTTCCTACAATCCCTGATGGGAAAACAGATTTTCTCCTGTCCCAAAGACAGATAATTCCTTCTTTTTAAGCTTTTCTCAATTTCAGCATCACCCCTATTCCCCATTCATTTCTTTGGCAAAAACAGGACTATACCATTGAGAAAGCCTTGTTAGGAAATGCTCTCCCCTATTCCCTCAAATAAGAGTAGTTGTAAAGTTAGTGTTCCCTTAGAGCAGGGGTGTCAAACTCGTGTCGCCACGGCGTCATCACATGACATACTGCCATTTCCCTTCGCTAAACCGGTGTGGCCAGCGCATGACACATCCAGCCCATGAGTTTGACAGCTCTGCCTTAAGAGCAGTAAATTGAATTATAATTTGCTCCTCTCGCATGTGTGTTTATTAAGGGCACTGAATCCAACTTGTTCCTCTCAACAGGTGATTACTCCAGAAATATCTCTTCTGATTCTCATTCTCAGCAAATACAGCTTACTATAAATACCAAACTGTCGAGGTGTGTGTGGGGGTGGGTGGGGGGTGGTCAGACACAAACCTGAAACTAGTAAGAGATTCATCCTGCAGACTTACAAAAGCCTGTAGTTTTTTCATTAGCTGATTTTACTTTCTATGAAATTGCTTCAAAATGGAAGATCCAAAATGGAGGATCGTCCATTTTCTGCATGTCGTTAAAGAGATCAGCCCATCTACTTCTCGCTATGATGGCACTGGTTTCCTCTTTCCTGTTCATTCCTTTTCCCAATTACAGGAATTTGAAGTGGTAAGGAAGAAAAGTACAGGTAATCCTCAACACACAACCGTTTCTGCTAAAATGGCACTGAAAAAAATGACTTACAAAACCAGTCCTTGCACTTACAACTGTGAAGCATCCCCAGTCACATGACCAAATTCTGGCATTCGGAAACCGGCATATTATTTGATGGTTGCAGCATTGGGGGAGAGGGGGCATTACATAATCATCACTTGTGACCTACCCAGGTGCTTTCAAACAAACAAAGCTGGATTTACTTCACTGCAGTGGTTTGCTTAACAACTGTGACAAACAAAAACTATTGTAAAATTAGGCACGATTCATTCAACTACCTTGTTTAACAAGACAAATTCTGGTCACAATTGTGGTTCTAAATTGAAGTTACCTGTATAAATAACTCTGAGAATAGGAGTGAGAAGCCTTAGGAAATGAGTAGGTAGTACTGAGAGAGAATGATGTTCTACCTGACTCTCAGCAAGGCCTCCCTCTCCGCCCTTTGTCAGATCCTTTATAAATTCAAAGTGCTCTGGTAGAAAAGGGATGGATTCTGATATTAATTCACACACCCCTGCATTAATGGTTTTGATAGAATACAGGTAGTCCTCAATTTACAATAGTTCATTTAGTGACTATTCCGGCACTGAAAAACGTGACGTACAACCGTTTTTTGCAGGACCACTAAAGCATTCCCCAAGGTCACACGATCAAAATTCAGATGCTTGGAAACTATTCCGTACTTATGACATGTTCCGGGGTCATGTCATCCCTTTTTGAGACCCTCTGACAAGTGAAGTCAATGGGGAAGGCAGATTCACCGAAGAGCTGTTTTTCTAACATAACCGCCAGTGATTCACTTAACAAATGTGCTAAGGAAAGTCATAAAACGGGGCAGAGCTCACTAAATGTCTCGCTGGGCAACAGAAATTTTGGGTTCAGTGGCGGTCGTAAGTCAAGGACTACCTGTACCCAAATTAAAACTGCTGCTGGGATGCAGTTTAGTGTGGAGGCAGATGTTGCTAGGGTGCTCATATCCAGGTGGCAGCCGTTCAATTCTTATTTTTAATGGGGTAAACTTCTAGCCGCCCTAAAGCCATTAGGAAACAAAATACCTCCAAGCATTCCAAATCCAGCTGAGCAGCAATCCGATGATTCACAATATAAAATCGGCAGGCAAGAACAGTCCTGAGGATATTTTCAAGCATGCCCCAGTTCTCCTGATCTGAGGACCATCCTTGGACTTAAAAGTGACTGCTGGGACCATATTCCAATGGAGGGGAGGGGAGACAAAAACTGAATTTAATTCAATTTTACACATTTTGCTTAGTTATACAGATAGCATAGTAACCTCTGGTGTCTCTGCCACAGTTTTTTCTCCTTCTGTCACATCAAGAATTATCCTTTCTATGGCAATTTGCAAAATGGTTTGCGGGGGTGTGGTGTGCTAAAACAATCCTGGGGATGCAGGTTCAGCGCATACAGGAAACATCTGTGACAAAGACCGAAGGGCAGCGACAAACATGTTTCATGTGTATGCGTGTGGTTGAGAGTACAGGAGTATTGGAGACAATTTGGGAACAAGATGTATTGTTTATGGCCAATCACTTATACGCCTTTCAATAAAATATGTACAGGATATTTATGTGCTTTTTTTAATGGCTATGTACCTCTCGGTTTCAAATCTCGCACGGGAGGAAAGGCCGTGGGTAAGTATGACCTTCCATTAGTCCATCAGAGGGCTGGAGATTTGGTCTACCTGAGAGCTCATGCTATCAACTGTAGCCCCCCCTTTCTGTGCCGAGTTAAATTAAGATGGCAGGCTTCCTTCCTATGTCATTTGCCCATCCGTGGGTCCATGCTCTTCGGTTTGTGAGCCAAAGCATGCTCCCCATTTCATGAAGAGAACAGGGTGAAGAGTTGGTTGTGCTAGTATGACAGCTTGTCTTCTGCAAGGAAGTCCCACAGGCCTCCCTGGGGGGCAGGGGGTGATACAGAGGACAGCCCTCCCATCTAACGGTCAGAGCTGGCTGGAGTATTATTGCTTTAATGGCTGAGGATGGCAGTCCTTTTTTCTCACTGCCGGCTGGTGTCTGGTTCCACCTTAATGCTGTTTCTTCTGGCCTCAGGCTGTGCTGCTGGAGGCTGGCATCGCTCAGGAAGAGTTTCCCCAAACTCTAAAAAAAAGAGAGGCAGAAATCAAAAGTTAAGATTTCGGGATCCATTTCAAAGCAGTCATAATCCGATACAAGGAAAAACAGTTCTATAGGTTTCCTATTTGAGCACTGAAGAAATCCAACTTTCATTTTTTGTTGTACTCCAACAGTGTGATGACCCAGGGTGGGATACAAAAGCAACAAAGTCACAAAAACAGGTGAAATCCCTTTAATTCCTTCAACTTGGCTTTAAAGGTCCAATTATCACTGACTGGAGAAAAAAAACTCCCCCACAAACAGTTGCGAAAAGAAATTCCATTCAAACTCAAAATACATATAAATAGAAAAAAAAAATAACACAAACCACATTGAAAACTTAATGAACCAAGGCAGGATAAGGGCTTGAAGACATCCACAGATATCAAAATACACACACTGGGAAGGATGCCAGAACTTGGATAAGAACTGACAGACTAGAAATATTTCCACGCTTTGCTCCCAGCACTGGCCCATGTGCAGTTGTCCTTTTAAACAGTCCTCACAGCTGCAGCCCATGAAGGGGATCAAGGCCCTTTCCTCTCCCATAGATCACGCCATTCACATTTCTCCCTTATCCACTCCTCCCTGCGTGCCCTAGGATGAAGAGGGGATGGCCTAGGTCTTCTTCTGAATGCTCAGCCGGCCTGTGCCCTTCCCCAGTTTCCTCCACAACCTCCAGAGCCACACGTCCACTCCCTGCTGGCTGTTCCTCCTCCTTCCTTGGAGTCAGATTCTAACAGGGACATGACAAATGGCTACTGGATAAAGTTCTCATGGATAGCCTTTGCCTTAGCAAAAATTTTGACTCCACATATTGATATTTTTAAAGACTAATTATCAAGAAAATTAAAGCAACTGGGCAAGGATTTTTCTAATAAGGGACTACTGATGTTGTGTGTGTGTGTGTGTAAGACAATTGGGATATCCTGTGATGAATATGACTTCTCCCATTTTTCAGAGCCTAAACTTCCACTTTGAGAGGCCAGCAAAATGAAGTCCATGTAAATCTGTCTGCTATGTATTTCTCCCTTCAACTTCCATCCCGCCTTGGGAATCTGAAAAGGACTTAAGTCAACTAACAAAACTTAAAAATAAAATTAGAACTGTATGTCGTAATAGAGCTCTAGTCTTTTCCTAGTACTTCCAGCATTTTCCCAGAACATTTTGGGAAGAAACCAGAAACAACAAGTTGCCTTGGGTCGCAATCATGTTCCTTGGTTTCTGAACGGCATACATGGAGTTTCCCAAAAGTGCCTCACTAAAGCCGACAAAGCTGTCCTTTTCTGAATCATATGCAATTTGTTTCTTTTCCATATTCCAGGAACACAACGGCAGGATGAATCCAGTAGTAACCTTTATTTTTGGCAACTTGGTAATAAATCTTTTCAGAAACAGAAGCCACCCCCCTTCCCCTCCTCTAATATAATTTCAGTTTCTTTAACACCAACATACGATTCTTACATATTCCTACATATTCCTAGTACGATTTGATTGCTTATTGTACCCTGTGACTATCATTGTGTTGTACCTTATGATTCTTGACTGTATCTTTTCTTTTATGTATACTGAGAGCATTTGTACCAAGACAAATTCCTTGTGTGTCCAATCACACTTGGCCAATGAAGAATTCTATTCTATTCTACAAGCTGCTTCCCAATCTCCTCCCTGAAGAAAATTAGTAGCTTTGGCCTTTACCTAAACGGTGACCGTGTTTCCCCAAAGTTATGCAACCTGATCTTCATAAAGATGGAGAAAGTAGCTCTCCTCATCCTCAACTGTATCCTTCGCTCCTGCCAGGCTGTCTGATAATGTTATTGTGTCAGCGCTGACAGACTTCCTCTTGCCATCGCAGCTGCCCATCAGATTTCGAATGAAGCATGAAGAGACTTTTCTGCTGTAGCTCCTGCACTTTAGCGCATCTTATCCCTGCCCAGAGTGAGGTCTGCTATTCCTGCCCTCCCTTCTGATCTTCTGTAAGGGCCTGAATACCTGGCTCAGCCAGCTGGCTTGGGCCTCCGAATGGGGGAGTATCATGCTATCATTAGTGGATTAGGAGAAAAATCCCACACCTCTCCTCCTGCGCATGCTGCTCCCTTCTCTTTAAATTTTTTTACTTTTGATTGTAATTCTATTCTATGGTTCTAGAAATATTTGTGTTTTATGTTTTTATAGCTTTTAATGTTGTAAGCCAACTAGAGCCACCTTGTAGCAATGTGGACAGCAAATTTATCTAAAAGATAAAATAAATAATAAAATAAAATAATTAACTTAAAATTAAATTAAATAAAAATAAATAAAATAATAAAATACAGCTAGTCTTCAACATACGACCACAATTGAGCCCAAAATTTGTTGCTAAATGAGACATTTGTTAAGTGAGTTTTGTCCCATTTTACGACTTTTCTTGACACATCTGTTAAGTGAATCACTGCAGTTGTTAAGTTAGGAGCATGGTTGTAAAGTGAACCTGGCTTCCCCATTGACTTTGCTTATCAGTTATTCGTAAAAGGTGATTCCATGACTCCAGGACACCACAACCGTCGTAAATCCAAGTCAGTTGTAAAGCATCCGAATGAAAATCACATGACAGTCACATGTAAGAATAACAGTCATACATGTGAAAAATGGTCATAAGTCACTTTTTTCAGTGCCACTGTAACTTCCAACAGTCACTAAGACAACTGTTGTAAGTTGAGGACTACTTGTAACATAAGATAAAATAAATAAGTAAAATAAATATCAAAAGAAAACAAAACAACATGGAAAGCAGCTACTTACCAGGCATCTGGGGTTTTCCTTGCAAACATGGGCTAAGCCGTCCCACTCGCTCGTGGGACACCAGCCGGGCCAATCGAAGCCCTTCATCCATCAGTGTCTGCTGTAGGATGTGACGGCTCCATAACCCATGTGGAGGGAGACTCAGCAGGGCATCAGAAGCAGTGTGGGGGGGTGGCGTAAGCCGAGGACAAGACCCAGTAGCTGTGGGGGGGAAAATCAGGAGGGGTGAGACATGCCTTTAAGTAAAAGGTATTAAATCAGTAGTATACTAGTTTCGTGGGACATGTTGGCTCAGTGGCTAAGGCGCCGAGCTTGTCGATGGGCAGTTCGGTGGTTCGAATCCCTAGCACCTCGTGACAGGGTGAGGTCCTGTTACTTGTCCCAGCTTATGCCAACCTAGCAGTTCGAAAACATGTAAAAATGCAAGGAGAAAAACGGGGAGCACTTTGGTGGGAAGGTAACAGCGTTCCATGCGCCTTCAACATTTAGTCATGCTGGCCACATGACCACGGAGACATCTTCAGACAGCACTGACTGTTCGGCTTTGAAACCGTAGATGAGCACTGCCCCCCTAGAGCCAGAAACGACTAGCATGTATGTGTGAGGGGAACCTTTACCTTTATACTGGTCTCAAATAATTTGTCCTAAGCTTCAGATAGCTAGAATAGACCCAAAGGTAACAGGGAAAAGTTGGTTCCCAATATGCTGCATATATTTGACTCTGGAGTTATTGAGAATAAATATACTGAGTTGTTACTTAAAGGTGAGACAGCGAACAGGAAGGCAGATTGAGGTTCCCACTACCTCACTTCCCTGGAAGAAATGCAACACTTTTTCCTAGATAGTCTTTTAGAGAGGGAAAGGAAATACTACAAAAACTGGAGGATGAGGTGAACCTTAGAGAATGTGCGTTTTCCATAAAGGGTTATCAACTTGGTATAGAAAAGTGAAGATGTATTACTTTAATCCAGTGCTTTTTAAACACGGTGACTTTAAAATGTGTGGGCTTCAACTCCCAAAATTCCCCAGCCAGCATGCTAAATTTTGAGGTTGCCAAATTTGAAAAACATTTGCTTTTTATCGGAGAATAAATAAATGGGTGTCTAAGTTAATATAATTGAAGTTCACCAAAACTATAAAGACATTTAGTGTTTTTTTCTTTAATTCAATCATTAATGGTTTACTCATTTTAGACAGCTATTTAAGATTACTTAAGATTAGCTATTTAAAAGAACAGTGCTAATTTAACAGGTAGCTGTTGACAACGAAGAGATATGCTGTTTTCTGTGTTGTTGTATTCTCTCTTTTCCTGTTTCACCTCTATTCTCAAAATGTACAGATATCCTCAACTTACAATCGGTTATTTAGTGACCGTTCGAAGTGACAGCTCTGAAAAAGTGACTTATCATTCTTTTTCCACCTTTATGACTGTTACAGTATCCCCATAGTCACATGATCAAAATTCAAATACGGCAACTGATTCATATTTATGACAGTTGCAGAATCTCGTGGTTACGTGATCCCCTTTTGTAACCTTCTGACAAGTAAAGTCAGTTGGGGAAGCCAGATTCACTTAAGAATCTGGCTGCAGTGATTCACTTAACAACTGCAGCAAGAAAGGTTGTAGAATGGGGCAAATCTCAAGTAAGAAATTCTCGTTTAGAAATTTTCAGCTCAATTGTGGTTGTAAGTTGAGGACCACCTGTATAAAGTTCTCTTGCTCAGTCAAACTAAACCAAAAACAGAGAAGTGCTAACTGGATTCTGGAGAAAGTAGAACTGCATAATTGAAAATTATGTAAAAAGAAGGTTGGGGTAAATAAAAAAATTATTAAGTTAAAATTATAGAGGTATTAAAACACCTATAAATAACATTATAACTTTGCAATGAATAATCTAAACACAATAAATAATTAGGACAGATAACTCTACAAGGCTATAAATAAAACTACAATTTATAAACAACTGTAAGAATGTAAAGCTATGTCCATTTACTTGCTGAAGCCCTGCTAGGGTTTATTTGGATTAAGACCACTACGAAAACTAATTAAAACAAAGATATAGTAAAATAAAATACAGAGTGGTATGTTTGTATATAAAAGGGGAAGAGGGGAAAAGGAGAGAGAGGGGAAAAAAACAAAGAGAAAAAGGAAGAGAAAACATACTAAATTATGGAAATCTAATTAAAACTCAGCATTAGCTCACTTGAAGGAAGCTGGTTTGGGTACACTTGTCATATTTAAACTACCATGTAGTTTGTTTAGTTTTGGCTTCCGGAATGTGTACACCCAGTCATTCTGATTTGTAGACTATGATTCATGGCTTAGCATGCTGTACAAACCTAGCCAATCATGGTTTCTTCCACAGAGCAATGAAATGAATAATGCTTCAGTTTATGTCAAGGTCACACACAGCAAGCCAGACAGAGTGAAAGGGGTGGGGCGGCAGCGAACTGGCATAATAAAATCTACAAATTGCAACTTCTATTTAGTCAACTTGTAGTTAAAGTAATGCACATATGCTATTCAATACTGCATACACAAGGCTGAGCATGTTCCTTACTCTTGTACAGCAGTGTATGAGAACCACTGTTCCAGGGACAAGATGGATTCTACAAACAGGAATGACAACGCTTTGCGTGAAGCCTACCAAGAAACAAAGCCTCCTTCATAATTTCCCATTTTACAGTCTGGTTCCATAGTTGATACCCACGGAAAACTTCCCTAAAGCCCAGAGCACTCACCTTGCGGATGTCCATCTAAGCTTTCCCCAGACAAGCTGGCTGTGTCTTCTTCTATACTGGATCGGTATGGAGGAAGGAAGGGTTCACAGACCAAAGGAAGCTCAGGGCGACTGTGTTCTGCAGCCTATTGGGAGAATTGCCAAGAAAAATAAAAGGGAAGATGCCTGCCTGCCAATTTTACTTTCTCTAAGAGAAACTGAAATGTGATTTTTTTTTTTACTGCAAGCAATAAATGTTATTAAACACTGCGTTAACATTCACCCAAAATACAATCTTGGAACAATCTGAAATGTATGGCAAGTAATATGCTGGCATGATTTGACTTATCAGCCAGTTGGCTGATAATTCCTGGAATCATGTTGTATACAGATTAGTATGACATTTCTTCCTGCATTTACTTGTACTCATATTAACTTCCATTTAATCAGTTTAGTTACAAATGATATTAGAAGGGTGGGGTAAGAATTTGATAAAAGTAACATGGAGACTTTGGAGTTTGGAAAAAGAAAAAAGAAGAGAGAGAGTTTTGGCTAGAGTTCAGTGCACAAGGAAATGGTAGCCTTCATCTTTTTAGGCTGCTTCCTTCTAATCTGCCTACTCCTTGTCAGGACTGCTATGTAATTATATTCAAACACCTCCATTAAAGAGGACCCTCGATCTCCTGAACTGCCAAGAAGTACATTCTGTTTCCCAAACCCTATAATCCACTCTCCCCCTCTCTAAATTGCTACAGGGCATGCTTGCAAATTTCAGGTAGAAATTGGTAGGCATTATGTGCCTGTCTCATTTGGTACAACAATGAAGACATGGAACTGATGTTTTCTATTGTGCGTGTGTTAACTAACACTGTCTCCACACTAAGGCAAACTCTAACGTTTCATACATTCGATCCATGGCCGGTCAGAGCTGGTTGGAAATGGGGCTGGGAGCAATTTTAGATTCCTCAACTTTCATGGATCAATGTGATCCTACATGTAATGCTCATATAATACATGTAATGAAGAATGTATTCAGAGTGTAATGAATAATACAGGATAAATACATAGTCACTATCCATTCAGAACTGTACATATACACCAATATATGTAGACTCACACCTTTATCATATTCTTTATCTAAGACAGGGGTATCAAACTCGCAGACCGCGGGCCGGATGCATCATGCACTGGCCACATCCACCCATTTTAGCAAAGGGGGGAAAAAAGTCACCATATGTCACATGACGACCATGTGATGCCGCAAGTTTGACACCCCTAAGATTAAAAACAGTTTTTATTAACATTAGCCTGGTCTTATCTGGACTCAGAAGAGAAGGGTAATTTTAAATTAATCCTTATCTCCGACTTCTGGGTAGAGAGATGAGACGTAAGGGCAGTTGTAAAACTGAATTATTCTGGTTACAGCATTTTTTTCTCCTTTTGCCCAGCCCTTAGGCATACTGCAAGTGTGAGAACTGGGGACACACACACACACATACACAAAAAACACAAAACCACGTGGCCACCAATTAGGCAAAAATGAGTGGCCTCTCTCTCCACAAACAAATCAGTATTGTCCTCCTCTGCTAGGTCTTCTGAAGTCAGACCAATAGGTAAGGGACAAACTAGCCTTAGCACGCAGTATGAAAATAACAGCGGGTTCTTCTTACGCTAGCACTCCTCTCTTCCTATTGCTCATCTTCTGATCCTGTTCAATGGAGAAAACAGCTTCCTCATTTTGCATAATTTATCATCCAGGACATGAAGATACGGCAGGCAACAGAGAAGAGGGGCATCCTACTTTCCCGATCTGGATCTCTCTTTAAAGACTAAAAGATTACAAGGGGGGGAAACTCAGAGAAACCTCTGCTTCACTGAAGAAAAGATCCAAATGGACATGCAAAACATGCATTGTTTCATCGCCATATTCCCTACAGTATTTTTCTCTGAAAACTCAAAACATTTCTCTATCTTTTTTTCTCTCTTGTGTATACACATATAAAGTATCTTTTTCACTTACCTCCTGCTTGAAGCGCTTAGCTTGTCCACCACAATTTTCATCTGGACGCAGTCTGAGGACAAAAGCCATAAAGGAGTCAGCATGTCCAACTAAATAATATATCCAGGAAATCACTCCTATCCCAATCACAGCAACCTTCCATATGTTCTGGACTACCCTGTCCAGGACATGTGCCTGTCCCAATTTAGCATTTACAGAAATTTGCAGCCTGGGGAGTGTTGGAATGAATACAATTTAATGGCCTGATATAAAGATACAGTAGAACCTCCGGTCACGACCATAATTTGTTCTATAACTTTGGTGATTTCTTCGTCTTCTAATGTTTCGTCTTCATTTCTGGGCCAGGGGTTGTGTTTAATCACCACCCGAGTATGTGTTCGTGACCAGATTCAAAAATTTTCTGAATTTTTTGGTCGGAACTGCATTTGGCCATGGTCAGACGCGTTTCTGACCAGAGGTCCTACTGTATAAAGCCGTGATGGTGAACCTATGGCATGTGTGCTGGGAGTGGCATGCAGAGCCATCTGTCTGGGCACGCCAATCATTGTCCGTTGCTCTTAAGGATTCCGATGCGCACATGTGCACCGGCCAACTGGTCTTCGCTTGCGCATGCACGCCACACACCGGAAGACCAGCTTCCTGGCGCACACATGGGGAGCTGCTCTTCCAGTTTCCGGCACTCCCCCCACCTGCATGCGCTCCTGTTTTGCCACTCAGTGCCGAAAAGGTTCACCAACTCTGGTATAAAGCATTAATAACATCACAGAAGCTAACTATCTTTTGCTATGGTTATATTAAATACGGTTCGTTTACCAGCTGAAATTTAATCTTCCTCCAACACAGCTTTTTAAACAGACCATAATGAATCAATCTACAAATTAAGGGCTAAGTCTGTTGCACTAAGTTACATTTTTGTCTGTTTGATTAGGCCTCGCTGGATAGGTTCACTCATCATGCTTCACTCGTTGTGAATATACAAATTAATGTATATATAAAAAATACAGGTAGTTCTTGACCTACAACTGAGCACAACATGTCTGTGGCTACGCAAGACAGTTGTTAAGTGAATTTAACCCTATTTTACAACCTTTCTTGCAAAGGTTGTTACTTGAACCACTGTAGTTGTTAAGTTAGTAACATGATTGTTAAGTGAATCTGGCTTCCCCATTGACTTTGCTTGTCAGAAGGTTGCAAAAGGGACTCACATGTCCCCAGGATATACTTCAACCTTCATAAACATGAGTCAGTTGTCAAGCATCGGAATTTTGATCATGTGACCATGGGGATGCTGCAATGCTCGTAAGTGTGCAAAACAGTTATAAGTCACTTTTTCAGTGCTGTTGTAAATTCGGTCACTAAATGTCCTATTGTAAGTCGAGGGCTACCTATTAATCAGACCACTTTATTCTGATGGGTAAAATAGGCCCTTATTTTAAACATAAGAAACTATGGCCTCATATGATGAGAATGTGTTTTAGTTAATCTTCGGCTCAGGTTCTCCATCTGTCCTAACATTCACATTTATGAGAAAATCTAATCTTTCTCTGCAGAAATAACTGCAATGTCACATGGTTGCTCAACTCAGGATACTGAGATATATTCCAAGCATGGTACTCAAAATGGTATCCAAGTGCAATTTTAAATGAATGAATGAAGGCAAATAGAAGTGTCCCAGGATAATGTTGCAAGATCCAATCTGGGTCAATCCCTGGGAAAGTGGCCAAAAGCTCAGAAGAGTAAACATCTGGTCCTGGTGTTGACCGACCTAGATTGGATCTTACAATTTTGCATCCTGATTTGATAAGCGATCAGTGGGCACAAATCCTAGTTCTTAATTTTCAGGTTTAAAAGGGAAAGTAATTAGTTCAAAAGTCAAAGCAGAAACTTTTTAATTTACTTTTTAAAACGTCAGAATAAAAAGGAATTACAGGAATTATATAATGGAATTATAAACATGTAAAAATTCTAGGCTCCAAATTTCAGCTTTAATGGGACACAGTGGTTTCAAAACTGAAAACAGAATTTTTTGAGCTTTTTGAAACACACAAAAAGTTGGGGATGAAAACATGAAAAGTCAAGGTTCATGCAGGATTATTCCTATACCATTTGATTATGATTTTTTTCCCCTTTTTTGTTAAACCAATTTGAAAGGCAAAGAAATAGCAAATTAGAAATACAAGTATTGTTTTTCTGGATGTTTGAGATACTCTTGGGATAATTACCTGTATTCATTAGCATTAGAGGGCAGATAATTAACACAGATGGATAAATCTTATTTTAGCTCCAGCTTAGCAAAGATCACTTTGTACCAATATTCAGCATACTTCACATCTAGCACTTTTTTTGACAGCACGCTCAATAATATAGGAATCAAGGTCAGATGGAATACATGCAAAATTATTTTTTTAATCTGCCTGTTTTGGGGGGACATTTCAAAAGGTATTTCCAACCTTTTGAAGAAATTGGGTTTCTTCAAGTAACCCGAAAGGGTCACCCCCCCAAAGGTGCTTTTTCAAGAAGCAACTGGGCTTTCTAGTTTTTCTTTGAAGACGTTTTGCTTCTCATCCAAGAAGCTTCTTCAGCTCTTGATGAAACATGTCTTCAAGAAGCGAAACGACTTCAAAGAAAAACCAGGCAGTCCCGTCACCTCTTGAAAAAGCACTTCTGGGACAACCCTGACCTGGATGACTGAGAATCTCCATAGACTGAAAGGAATAGTTAATGAAGATATGACTAGAAGCAACAGCAATTTATTTTGCCCACTGAGAACCTTCCCAACAGGTTTACAATAATCATTCAAGAGATTACAGCCCAGTTCAAGAACCTCCCATTGCTAACAAAACCACCAAGATCTGACTCTTACCTAGAACCTTTCAGTGAAGATAGATAGCTGCTCTCCCGAGCCACCTGACGTGACAGTGAGAACAATTCTACACGACGCAACAGCAGTGAATTGTCTCGCAGACAGAACTGAGCTGCAGCCTCATTAATTGTGAGCTGGGAGAGAAGAGTGAACAGAATTGATTCTCTGAGGAAGCATAGGACCTCCAAGAATATTAGGCATAAAGCATTTAAAGCTCTGATTCTCTAAGTTTCTGAAAGCATGGACCAGTGAATAAACTAGTTTCATTTGAGAATCACCATCCTCTTTATTTTTAAACCTGTTTTAAAATGAAATGTGTATCAAAATGTAATTCAAAATTATATATTTGCTACTGCTTGGATTATTTTATGTTGCCCATTTCTTAACACAAACTAGTCAACAATGTTCTCCAATAGAAATCTTTGAGTACGAAGAGAAAAGGGATGAATAGGTCACCATCTCATTTTTAGTTATCAATCATATTTTCTATTACTTTAATGACACCACATATTATCTTCTACATTTAGTTCATCACCATGTATTTGCAATATTAATGTTAATCATAACTTTTAGTAATTCTTTGTACCTTTTAGTCGCATGAGCATTTATAGTTGTATACTATTTTTTAGTATACAACTATAGACTGATTGCTGACTGCTGTCACAGGAAGAACAATAATCCCCTAGTTTTAAACATTATTTATGCTGATCTTGGAGTAAAAAATTACATATTTGCTTTTTCTGCTTGGGTTGTCTGTTTGAGGCGACAGCTCCAGTCATTACATTGCATGTGGATTCACAGTCAGTAACTGCATTTGAGGTATGTTCATTATTAGCATTTTCTTGAAGTTGGTATTTATATTCTTACATGTATCATCATTTACAGACTACACAAATAACTTTTCAACTAAAGATCCATTTTCATGTAACAGCTAAGTGGCGCAGAAGCCAGAGAAGCAAGCCTGGCCAGCGAACATGAGAAGGTGATTCTCCACAGACCCTTGATGGTTTGTAGAGAACAATTGGAGAATGATGGATATTATTACCAGGAGAGAGAATTAGCAGGAGAGAGGAGAGGAAAGAGAGAGGAGGGGAGAGAGAGGGAAGGAGGGGGCAGGAGAGGAAGGGGAGGCATTCTGATCTGGGATAAGGCATTTTGGGATCCACCAAAATGAACTCTTAAGTTAATCAGTGGATATTCCTGTTAGTGAATAAAAGACCTGAGGGCTCATCCTCTGTTAGTTTCTAAGGCCCCACTCCTTGGTTCTTCATCCAAAACTCTTGAGATTGGTAGTCCCACAACTGTGAAACTCTTTTTCCATAGAAACTTTTAGGTTAATTCTGTATTATTAAAAAACAAAATTACTACCTTCACTGTATAGGCTAACATAGAGGATTACACTAGTAAAGCTGCCTTTGAGTTAAGCTCAGTTCTCAGGGATTACTTCAACATATTCATACAGTTTTTTTCATGTCATCTGGGAATGAGTTGTTTTCATTCAATATTTTTTGAAACTTTTTAAATCTGGCCAATTCCCCCCCATATCCTGAGGTCCTACATCCAAGTAGTAAAACAGGCCTGCCCTTGCTTAGCTTCCCTTTCCAGATGAAGTCAGCCAGATGCTGCCCCCTGCTGATAGTGTATAGTTTTTTTTTTATTATTTCAGTAGTATTAATATTAGACATTCTTTAGTCTGCTAAACCTACTGAATACTTTAAGTAAATGACATTCCTGAGTTCTGCTTGACCAGTGGTACCTTCCCTCATGGCTCACCTCATGAAGGGTGAGCTGTTTGCCCTCGCATCGCCGATTTTCACCCCGCCCATAGATGGCACTGTGACGCCGGATCTCTTCTTCCTTCCGAGGGTCCCCGTTGTCCAACTGGAAGATATGCCCCACTGTTTTGGCCAACTTCTTATTCAGCTTCAGGAGAGTCTTCAATTCTACATCTCCGCTGCGCGGACAGGTGCGCAACAGACGATCCACCCCCTCGGACACTGCATGGGCCAGCTCTGGATCGAGATGTTCAGTGGATGACGGGGGCTCGCTGGGTGAGGTTACTCCTCCTTCTTCTTCAGACTCAGGGTTCCCCCACTGCATGGCTGGCAAGGGGGACAGCTTCTCTTGTGGCTCGGAGGGGCTTTTGGAAGGCGAAGTGGCACTGGTTTTGCCAGGGATCTCTACTGGACTGGTGTGTCCATTCGTGAGTGACTTGTGGCCTCCGGACTCAGAGATCTTGAAGAGTGGTATGCTGTTTACAGGTATGCAGGGCACCGGCTGGTTGAAGAGACCAGGATTGGTTGCCCATTCCCGCAGAGCCTTCTGGAGGCGCCGGACATGGAGTGGCTTGGTCGCCATGCCAACCAGAGCCATGATCTCCAGGAATTCTTCCTCACCAGCTTCACACAGTTGCTGTACATCATCACCGCCCTGCTGAATGAAGGTTTCATAGTAGGAGAGGAGGTTGGCTCTCTGGAGGACGCGGTAGAGCTGAAGTTCGCCCAGAGTGCGGGGCAGCAACAACGCCATTGCCAATTGCCTGCAGGGATGACAGAGTGAGACCATGAAGGCCGAAGTACAGGTAATCCTCAATTTACAACCATTTTTTTAGTTATGTTCAAAATTACACCACCACTGATGATCAGTTTTCACACTTACGACCTTTGATGGTCACGTGATCAAAATGTGGACACATAGCAACTGGCATGTATTTATCACAGTTGTACTGTTCCGGGGTCATGTGATCACCATTTGTAACCTATCCCTGCCAGCTTCCAACAAACAAAGTCAATGGGGGAAGCCAGATTTGCTTAACGACCGCATGATTCGCTTAACAACTGAGGCAAAAAAAGTTCATAAAATGGAGCAAAACTCATTAAACAACTGCCGTGCTTAGCCACAGAAATTTGGGGTTCAATTGTGGTCATGCATTGAGAACTACCTATAGTTGCCAGAATGGAAGGAGGGCAGAGCTGCTCTTTAATCTCCATAGCCAGGCAGGAGAAGAAAGAAGACACCATAGAAAATACTTGGCATTTCCTTTGGACTAAGTTTGCAAGTTTAAATTAGGATGAGCTATCGGCGTCACAAATTAAGGGGCTTTCCCCCCTTGCTTATTGACCCTGTGCCCCCATTCACACAGAAACAATGGCTTGGTGATATAAGCAGATAATTTACACTGGAATTTTCCTGCCATTTCTTTGGATGAACAGACCAAAATTTGGCTGAAAGGATCTGATCCAGCCCAAGAGTCTTCTAAGGCTCTACAATTAGCAGGGGAAGCTTTCTACAAGGCCTCTTAAGTGTATTGTTGTAGCTCATATAGTCCCTGCTCTGTTATCTCTACATCACTGCCATATTCCTGAGGCAAACAAGCCCTCGGCCTTTTTCTTCTTCTCTCCTTCATGCTGATAACACTATCCTCCCTTGGCTTTCTTGGAATAAAATCCCACTGTGCTCAATGGGGCGCATTTCTTATTAAGCGTATTTTCAGACTGCTGCTAAAAACTTCAATTACTCTTTAAGATCCTGCTTTCTTCCTTGCTTTTTTTTTTTAACCTATGGGAGAATTTGATCTTGCACTAGAATTCACTAGGGACGCACATTCTGCATCAATCCCACACTGCAACCCCAAGCTCTAATACATTAATCTTGCCATCAAAAGAAAGCTCTTGTATGCCGTTTCAGTTTTTTACCTCTGCACTGTGAGGGTTTTTCTTTATTACAAATCTTCAAGTACAGTAAACTACCCTGACTTACAATTACAGCACCCCATGCATAGAAGTCTTTGTACTACCAACCAACCTTCTGTCCTTTAGCACACAGGCGTGCACACACAAAACCTAGATTTTCTTCACAAACCAGAAACACTCTGCACACACCACTTGCTGGGCCTCGTAACCAACATGCACACACATATCAGACTCCTCCAAACGCCCACTGCTTGTTCCTTCTTTATCCACCCTTGTGCAGGCTCTGTCATCTATTACAAGACCATTAAAATAGTGAAGCAATAGGCTGGGGTGGAGTTGGCACTCCATGGATACCAACAGAGCTGCCATTATTTTCTCTTCTTGGAAGAGGCTGAAGATAAACAGCGGGTGAGGAAATTTTGAGAATACAAGTGGGAGATATGTGGGTGTGGAAGGGAGGGGGGGCTAATGGGAGAATGCAGCTGTAATGTGGGGAAAGCCTTGAGAAACTGGGCAAAGGGATGCTGCCAAGGGAACGGTCAGATAAGAGATAGCATGGCCCTCAGCTGGATAGTGGGCAGGGCAAGAGGCTCAGAAGGGACCCTCCCTAGTTTCTCCGGCTGTAAAGGAGATGGGGAGAGAATTGTATTTTCAGACCTGCAAGATTCTGTCAATAATAACAAAGTCAAATTAACTCATCTGGTCATGATTCTTAACTGGTTCACTTGGGGAGGCCAACAGCAACAGATGGTTGTTGGCAGATACTCTCCAGATCAAACTTCACCATCTTCCTTTAGTTCTTGCCAGCCTTCTCTGGTGATGCCAACAGGGTAGCTATTAAAAGTACAGGTACTCCTTGACTTACAACAGTTCATTTAGTGACCATTTAAAGTTACAACTGCACTGAAAAATGTGACTTACGACACGTTTTTCATTCTTAGGACTCCTGCAACATCCCCATGATGACATGATCAAAATTCAGATGCTTGGCAACTGGTTCATATTTATGACAGTGGCAGTGTCCTGGGGGGTCATGTGATCCCTTTTGCGACCTTCTGACAAGCCAAGTCAATGGGGAAGCCACTTTAACGACCATGCTATTAATTTAACAAATGCAAGGATTCCCTGTGGCAACAATTGTGGCAAAAATAGTTGTTAGAATGGGGCAAAACTCACTTAACAAATGTTTCACTTAGCAATGTAATTTTTGGATTCAATTAGGGTTGTAACTCAAGGACTACCTGTGATTAGCCAAGTTCCTTAAACACAATACTGACTGACTTATCATCTTTTGGAGTTACTTATATTATTATTTAAAGCACCAGAGAGCAATTATAGAGTTATAATTCTAAGTTTACTACCTGGAATATAGTTTTTCTTAATCCCAATACCTTATATTTCTGGATAAAGTATGAAAGATTAGGTGTTTTATGAGGATCTACATAATCTTAACATCCTTCCATTTTAACATCAGTATTTCAATCCTAGGTTGAAAGCTCAGAGATGAAGTTGTTTTTATCCTGGCTCTTTCCCTCCCACCCCCATGTTAATTTAGTTTAAGATATTAAACTCTTCCCTGCACCCTAGTCTTTCTCAGATATCAATGCAGGTGTGATTTTTCCGGGTGCACCATGGTAACCCTCCAAATCCTCTCTCATTTCGTTTCAGGTTTCATTTAACAAGGTAGTTTGGTGCTGACAACCACAGATTCTGACTACATACCCAATGAGGAGTTCAACTCTTTGGAATACAGGCTGAAGTATATACTGAGAGAGATGGGTTGGGTGTCTGAGCTTGTGCAGAATCCAATAAGGTTGCCAAGTGGGGGGCGTGGCTTCCCCACCCACCCCCAATCCCAAAAAGCAAGCTCGACCCCCCGAAATCTTTCTGAATATCCTGGCATTTTCACCATTTTGCATCCGGAGCAGCTTCTTAGGAGAAGCGTTTCGTTGAAGAGCTGCGAGGTTTGGCAGCCGATTCCATCTTGGCAGTTCTTGACTGACCCCCCCCCCCCCCCCCCCCCCCCCCCTCTCCTCGCCCTCCACCCCACCCCCGGGGCAATCTTACCGCGCCAGTGGATTTCTTCGCAGCCCGACTGGTGCGCCCGTCAAGCATGGACCCGAGGCCTCGGGAGCCTCACCGGCGGCCGCACCTTCTTCTTCTGGCTCTCCGCGGAAAGGCAGACCCAGAAGGCGCAGAGCTCCCAACGCGGCACCCCTGCCCGGCTTCGATGGTCTTTCTGCGTCCCTCCGTCGGAGCTCCCCCGTTCGCCTCCCCACTCCCTCCTCTTCCTCTGCCTCCTCCTCCTCCTCCTCCCTCTCTGCGCGCCTCGGCGCTGAGCCTTTGGCACGGAATTGCCTCCCACGCTGCCGGATTTACAATGGAACGGCGGCGGCAGCGGCTCGGAGCTGCTGCCGCGCGTGGGAGGTTTCGGGGGCGGCAGGCAGCTTCTGCCTCGGACCAGAAAAACTGCAACAGCAGCAACATCAAACAGCCTTCGCCACCGCAAGCGCCGGGGGAGGGGGAGGGACGGCATTTACCGCCCACCTTCCCTCCTCGCGGCTTCTTCCAAGACGCGAAGGCAGGAAAGGGCGTATAGGATTCCTACCGCCGCCCGCCCCCCGTCATCCCATCCCATCCCACCCCCGCTTTATCGGCCCAACTTCTCCCACTTGTCTTCGGCGCGGGCGTTTGCGCGCCTTGGAAAGAGGAGACGGCGTCGATCCGGGGACGGACATCATCGGCCTGCCGCTTTTTCTTTGCCACGTTTTGCAAGCCTGAGCTTTGGGTGATAACGCCCCGTCTCGGTGAAACGCGCACCGCTTTCGTGCACTTAAAATAAAGCGGGTTTCCTTCCCTGTCGTCGCTTTTCCCGCCTCTGGAGGCTCATCGGGGGCGCGCGATGATCCTTTCCTGAGCGCGCTTGCAAGTGCGTCGTAAGCGACCTGTCGGTTCGCTCACTGGGACGCTTGGGTATAGACGGGGCGCGGGGGGGGGGGAGAGTTCAGGGCAGGGTTGCTGGATTTTATTTTATTGTATTGCTATGGGTGCTGTTTAACACTGTACGGAATAAAGTTCCGCGATCGGAGAGAGTTGCTGAGAAAAAGAATACATCCATTCATTGGAGACATATGAGGAGTTCCAAATATTATGAGGCCCAAACCAGGATACAGGATTTGATTCGGCATTTTCCAACCCAAGGCAACTTACCGACTTCAACTCCCAGAATTCTCAGCAATGACCAAATATGGCTGAGAAATTCTGGGCGTTCAAGTGTACCTATCTGAAAGTTAGTCAGGGATCAATCTACCTTACTTTTACCTGTTTTTTTTAATAATAAAGTACTGTAATCGCTTCCCAGTCCCTGTTTTACGTTGAATTCCGCGTCCATTTTACTGAAACATGCTAGGAGACCTGCTGCTTTGTTTTTGAAAAGCAAAAAGCAGTACTTTATAAATCCATTATTTGTTGAGCTGAATGTATGGGGGATGGTGAGAACACGTTTGTATTTTCCCTCTTCTGCCAAACGGTGCAGAGGTAGTGTCTGGATACAAGAACAAGGTTCCTTTAACAGAAGAAGCCACGTATTGTATGTATGTAAATTCTGGTCTGTTTCATTAACAGTGCACAGTAACTGGTGGAGAAAGACTGCCTGTAATTTTTAAATACCAGAAAAGGTATTTCTTGATCCTGACCTAGAGAATTATGTCTATGATTACTGGTTATTGTAACTGCCATAATGGAAACAATAAAAGCTACTTTATACTAGCTTGTGCCAATTGGATTTTCTTCAGGTCAGTGCTAAGTCCTGAAGATTGCCTGGACAAGTCCCTGCAGTTTTCTTGGAAGTACTTTTCCACTGTCTGCTTAAGAGCTGAGAGCAACTGACCAAGGTCCCCAACTGGCATCCTGCACCATCTCGTTTCTACCTGGGTGCCTTAACCACTACACCAAATTTAGCCATCTAATTCTCCTGGGCTGGCAGCTGTTCAAGGTCTCAGGGCAGATGGATCTTCCCTATCATCTATTTCATTGTTTTAACTTTAAATGGCAACACTGACATATGATTGGAATTTGATGAAGTAGGGACTAGCTTTTAGAGAGAATCATTTTCTCTGATAGCGCATAATTCCAAATTGTCATTTGATATTACCACATTGCTATAGACAAGGAGTGGAATGGTACTTGTGGGATTTTATACATCATTTTCCAGAACTATTCAAGTGTTTGGGGGTACTGTGAACTGTGACTTTGGATGAAAGTTGGAATGGAAGTGTCCTTCGTTATCTTAAGCAGATGGTTTGAGCAAGTTGCTCTTCTTGTTACTTCATTTTCTGGTTGTGCAGTTCCAGTTTCAGAGTTTCCCAACTTCAATACCAAAAATGCCAAATTTCTTTACCTATTAAAACTTTTTGGGACACTCTGGCTTGCTACCTGTCCAACTGGATGTTTTTGGTTTTTTTAATCTGAATCATTTTAGAGCTTGTCAGTTGTCTGAAACAGCATATACACTGCTCAAAAAAATAAAGGGAACACAAAAATAAGACATCCTAGATCTGAATGAATGGAATATTCTTATTAAATACTTCGTTCATTACAACTTTGTTCATTAGTTGAATGTGCTGACAACAAAATCACACAAAAATTATCAATGGAAATCAAATTTAGCAACCCATAGAGGTCTGGATTTGGAGTTACACTCAAAATGAAAGTGGAAAAAAACACTACAGGCTGATCCAACTTTGATGTAATGTCCTTAAAACAAGTCAAAATGAGGCTCAGTAGTGTGTGTGGCCTCCACATGCCTGTATGACCTCCCTACAATGCCTGGGCATCCTCCTGATGAGGTGGCGGATGGTCTCCTGAGGGATCTCCTCCCACACCTGGACTAAAGCATCCCCCAACTCCTGGACAGTCTGGTGCAACGTGGCATTGGTGGATGGAGCGAGACATGATGTCCCAGATGTGCTCAATTGGATTCAGACCTGGGGAATGGGCAGGCCAGTCCATAGCATCAATGCCTTTGTCTTGCAGGAACTGCTAACACACTCCAGCCACATGAGGTCTAGCATTGTCTTGCATCAGGAGGAACCCAGGGCCAACCGTACCAGCATATGGTCTCACAAGGGGTCTGAGGATCTCATCTCGGTACCTAATGGCAGTCAGGCTACCTCTGGCGAGCACATGGAGGGCTGTGTGCCCCCCTAAAGAAATGTCACCCCACACCATTACTGACCCACTGCCAAATCGGTCATGCTGGAGGATGTTGCAGGCAGCAGAACATTCTCCACAGCGTCTCCAGACCTTGTCATGCCTGTCACATGTGCTCAGTGTGAACCTGCTTTCAACTGTGAAGAGCACAGGGAACCAGTGGCGAATTTGCCAGTCTTGGTGTTCTCTGACAAATGCCAAACATCCTGCATGGTGTTGGGCTGTAAGCACAACCCCCACCTGTGGACTTTGGGCCCTCATACCACCCCCATGGAGTCTGTTTCTGACCATTTGAGCAGCCATATGCACATATGTGGCCAGCTGGAGGTCATTTTGCAGGCCTCTGGCAGTGCTTCTCCTGTTCCTCCTTGCACAAAGGTGGAGGTAGCAGTCCTGATGCTGGGTTGTTGCCCTCCTACGGCCTCCTCCACGTCTCCTGATGTACTGGCCTGTCTCCTGGTAGCGCCTCCATGCTCTGGACACTACGCTGACACACAGCAAACCTTGCCACAGCTCGCACTGATGTGCCATCCTGGATAAGCTGCACTACCTGAGCCATTTGTGTGGGTTGTAGACTCCGTCTCATGCTACCACTAGAGTGAAAGCCCCGCCAGCATTCAAAAGTGACCAAACCATCAGCCAGAAAGCATAGGAACAGAGAAGTGGTCTGTGGTCACCACCTGCAGAACCACTCTTTTATTGGGGATGTCTTGCTAACTGCCTCTGCTTTCCACCTGTTGTCTATTCCATTTGCACAACAGCATGTGAAATTGATTGTCAATCAGTGTTGCTACCTAAGTGGACAGTTTGATTTCACAGAAGTGTGATTGACTTGGAGTTACATTGTGTTGTTTAAGTATACCCTTCAATTTTTTTTGAGCAGTGTATATTGGTTCATCTCAGATATATCTTGAAAGCCAGTATAGAAATGCTTTTATAAATTTAACAAAAATTTGTACATCCCTTCTCACTCCATAGTCCGTACCCTCAAAAACCCAATCGTGGTTTTTCATTGCACATCCATCCAATGCTGAAGAAACCTCAGTTCCTTACAATCCTAAATTTCTACATTCCTTTGTAGCTGGGATTAGTTTATGACTTTATTTTTGGATCCTCTTTGTGATACAGGAAACATCGCTGTGGGGTTTGCAGTTACGGAAGTTCCATTCCTTTCTCTGCCACCCACACACTGTGCCTCCCCCCACCCACGCATACACACTAATGCTCCTTCTGATAGCAGTGTCCAATCTGTTGCAGTCTCTTGGCTCGTCAGCAACAGAGCCATTCTCTGCATGCAAAGGAAGATGTGGGCAGAGAGCTTGCTCTGCGGAGGTGGGGACCTCTGACCAACTTTAGCTGCCGAGAAAAGATTTCTATTCAGAGATGCCTGAGCACTAACATAGAATTCCACTAAGTGGTCTCTCACAGGGCTTGTGACTGCATTTTCTCAAAGGTGTGGGGAGGAAATACCAAGCCTTGAAGCCCTCCATGGCCAACCTCAGGCCCAGGCCTTTAGGTCTGGCGTCCCTTAAATTGTGCTTCAATCCCATCTTGTCTCTAAAACTCATCATGCAACAGGGACATGTTAGGAACCAGCTATAAAGAGAAAAGGTTGGTTATAGGGCGTAGATTTCAGCCCCTCCTTTACAGCCCTTTATGCTGGAATTAAAAATCTATATACTACTGAAATGTTTGTTTGTTTGTAACTTTCAATTGGGCAAAATGGTGCATCACAGGGCAACATTTTTTGAACCAATGTACTTCAAATGGGCTAATTTTCAAAATACATCCAAAATCTGAGATCTGTGACTCACACAGAACTGAAATTTGGCAATTCATGGCTTCATGCTTTGGTGCTGCTGCACTGCTTCAGTCATCTAGAATCACGTGATTGTTATTTCCAACACTCCCTGACAGCTTTCCACAAGTAGGTGGGAAAACCAACAGGAAGCATAAATTCAATACAGCTAGCCACTCATGCGCTCTTCCCAACCTGTGCTGTACCAAGCGCCCTTGCTGACTCCTGCAGCCTCTCATACACCCTTTCTGACTTTCA